ATTATGGATTACAAGGTGTGTAGGCCCCCCTACAAGGGATTTTATATAGGTTTATATGTATAATTAAGAACTTTAGTAGCGTTAAATTGTTCACAAATAGATACAATTACTGCAAAACCTAAACTCCTCATTCAATTACTACTATTCATTACTACAGTCGCACCCCGTTAGTACGAAACTGACGGGCCAAAGAAAAATAATCGTATTAAGCGGGTTCCGTATATTATATTAGCCTTAATTTGAAGAGAAAAACAATGAATTTGAAGGTGTGTACAAAATGTTTTATATAGAAATGAAAATACCGGGACAGAAAATTTCATGTTAGTAACAGGATCCTTGTATTATTGTCTTCGTATCAAGTCAATATTTTACTAAAAGATTACTATGAATCGGGCCGGGATTTAGAGAAATCATCGTAGTCTCATCAGCGTAACGAGCGAATATGGCCGCGAGGCGGCCATTTTGCGAATCCCTATAATCTGAATAAACCACATAATTTCTTGAAGAGGCAAAGTTACTTTGGCAAAGACGAAAACAGGCAAAAGAGGCAAAGACGAAAACAGTTATAGATTCGTTTACTTTCACTTTCGTTATATTTAACCGCTGACTGGATGCCAACGTCAGGTGGACGTTTTTACATCTATTTACCTGCAAAGCGTTGACATGCATGTCGTACACCGTGTAGAGTGCGTTTATCTGCAGTATTAGCTGCGTACACTCTGACAAACAAAACTGAAGACCTAAAAGGCAGATATTTTCATCCGGGCTTGATGAGTAATTGAATTTAGGGCCGTCGCCTATATGATTAATTATTAATTAATAATATGATTAATTACTAAGATTGTATAACCTCGCTATTAAATCTATAGATGTGTCTATGGTGAGCACGACTGTCTAAAAACATGACATTACAGATGTTTGTACGGCTGACTTCATAAAATTTCTTCGGCAAATATAAACACGATTGCGAAAGAAATGCAATGCCATGGTAATAGCGCTTAACCAATTAACTATAAATTCATTTAACAATCGTTCATAAACATAACAACCATTATAAAAATTCAAACAATAGCACAATATAGAGAATAATATAATATTATGGACGAATAACTGTAAAATTATATGATTATAAAATAAATAACCAGGGGCGGATCCAGAGGGGGGGTCGAGGGGGTCCGGACCCCCCTTTTTTACCGCAAAAAAAGGAAAAAAAGCATACACACACGCGCGAGCACACACACACAGGCACACACACACTTCTCTTATATTGTCTCCATAAAAAAAATATTGTTTAGCGCTATAGTTTTTCTGATAAAGATTTACTTATATATATATGTAAATTTGTTATAAAAACTTAGAAATGGGCAAAGAGGGGTCCGCAGGCATCCGGGGACCGGATCTGATAAATTTCTAGACATTTAGACTAGAAATTTCTTGATGCATTCTAGACATCAAAATTACTGCTCAGATACTCTCAGAATGCACCAATTTAAAAAAAAACACCTGATAACTATAGTCTATAGTGATCATGTCTTGGCAACTTTAGCACGTGCGTATAGTAACTATAGTCCTACTGTTTTTCTCCTGTTTTCGCTCGAAAAGATTGAACCATTAACTGACTTACAACACTACTTGAACAATTAGAAGATAGTTGATAGTTTTTACAACCGAGGCTTTTTGTACTCGTTTTAGTCACAGGTCTTCTGTTCCTTTTGCATTAATATTGAAGAGTAAAATAAGTATACGTGTCATAAATAATGCGTGTAGTCTGTTTAAAAAAATCATGCTGAAAGAGAGCACGCAGTTTACACTACTTCACAGAGCACGCAGCTTTCAGCATGATTTACACTACTTCACTCATGCTGAAAGAAGCTTCTTGCTCAGTGAAGTAGTGTAAATCATGCTGAAAGCTGCGTGCTTTGTGAAGTAGTGTAAATCATGCTGAAAGCTGCGTGCGCTGTGAAGTAGTGTAAATCANTAAATCATGCTGAAAGCTGCGTGCTCAGTGAAGTAGTGTAAATCATGCTGAAAGCTGCGTGCTCTGTGTGAAGTAGTGTAAATCATGCTGAAAGCTGCGTGCTCTGTGAAGTAGTGTAAATCATGCTGAAAGCTGCGTGCTCTGTGAAGTAGTGTAAATCATGCTGAAAGCTGCGTGCTCAGTGAAGTAGTGTAAATCATGCTGAAAGCTGCGTGCTCTGTGAAGTAGTGTAAATCATGCTGAAAGCTGNTTTCTATCTCTCTCACTCTCACTCACTCTTTGTGGTAAAACATATAGAGTGAAGTAGTAGTTTGTAATTTATTTATGCCGTATTGCTACCAAACGACCGCGCTACCTCGCCGGCTCGACGCGCACTAATAATAAGAATTGACGGACCGAGGCAGTTGCCATGGAAACGATTTTCAGTAATTGTCAGCGGAGTCTTTACATTCCAGATGAGTAGAGAGTGGGACGTGGCAGCTGCTGTAAGATCAGTGGGTTTTTGCGGGGTGACACACACACACACACACACCCACACACATACACCACGCACGCACACACGCACACACGCACACACACGCACACACACACATACACACACACACACACACGCAC